TAAAGGTATTCTTCCGGAAATTATTGGAGAAATTTACGATCTATGACGTAAGCAAATCTTTCTCGAAAGATCCGTGAGGTCTATAAATAGAGGGTCTCTCGCCGAAACTGAGTCAGTAATATTTTGACCAGTGATTAGTTATTACTTCAGCTGTTAAATAGGACGAGTGAGTGCATGCGAATAATCTTAAAACATACTTCTATTTTAGACACTGATAATTGTGTCTGAGCGCTGCAGAAGGTGTGAAGATTTATTAAGCAAATTTGAGTACTGTATCCTGTATTTAAAAGATTGTTTTTCGACAATAAATTTTCATCGCTCCTGGTGAAGTGTCTTGCTCTTTGAGACTGATTGCATAAAATCCTCGAACCTCAATCTGCGGAACAATACCGATATTTCTAAGGCTTTGAATTCTATTGATTTCGTTATCTTTTCTTAAATAAATATAAAACTATTGAGTTTCGTGTTTATTTCATTGATTTACTATTTTCTTCTTTAAGTAAACAATTAGTTTTTTGCCTGTATAAATAATAATGTATCTGATGGGTTTACAAATACATCATGTGTCCACGATAGCTGTAACGTAACCTTTGACCATTGGATTTTTATTTTATTCATTAATGACAAAAAAAACAAAGGAAAAAAAACTGAACTTATGAAAGATCGCATTGCAATTTTAAACTCTTAACATCAAAAACATTACGTTGATAAGATGGGGATACACCTTGCGAAAAAAATGATTTTTTTACATTATAAAACAAATTGATTTTGAACTTTCTCAAGAATTTTGATTTTATTCTTTTACGCCAGCACTTATATTAGAAAATACTCTGGTTTTACGTTTGAGAAACTCATTTTTTAAATAAGTTTAACAGACCAAGCCATCCAAATATTGCATAAGACAAAGCTTAGTGTTAAATGTAATGCCGACCTTGGTAGCCAAGTGGTCAAGGTAATGGACTCATGACAAACATATAATGAGTTTGAGCCTAGAACCGCTGAAGACCCACCGTGCATAGGGTGTCAATTCACGTTAAATCTATCGAAACTTTCACTCATTGGTGAGGTGTGGACGTTAGGAGAGGAGGTGACAGCTCAGGTGTCGGCGTCTCGCTGGACCATAATTCAAAATGATGAAGTCCGACGCCAATAGCCCTTGTGCAGGGGCTGCGGTAGCCCAGTGGTAAGGGTATAAGATCATGGCAGGCATGTCATGTGAGTTCGAGCCCAGTACCACTAAAGACCCGCCGTGTAGGGCAGCGATGCACGTTAAATCTGTCGAGAGCTGAAACGTCTTCCCGTTGATGTGGTGTGGTAGTTAGGAGAGGGGGTGCCAGCTCAGGTGTCGTTCATTTCACTTGACCATGGTTCAAAATTACGTTGTGTGACACTAAAAGCCCTCCAGTAGCTGAACAGTGTGACGTTAATGTTCACTCACTCGGCCCTTCTGCAGCTTCATAGTCAGATGTAAATAGAACTATTTCTATCTCTAAGTGTAACGTTAATATTCACTCACTCGGCCCTTCTGCAGCTTCATAGTCAGATGTAAATAGAACTATTTCTATCTCTAAGTGTAACGTTAAGAAAAGCAATTGAGTTTAAACATAATATTGAGACACTTTTGATTACATAGGAATTAAGTATTTCATAAATATTAGGATTTAATACATATGTCAGGCCCCAGGCCTGCTGGTAAATGAAGGAAGATGTCATCTTTAAAATATCTGTGCTTTGGTATTCTTCAAGTATAGTTACTCCAGTATGGCGGCCATTTGGTGCCCAATCGGATGGAACAAAACACAACCTAATTGCGAGGAGTCAACAGTCTCTTTTCTCGATTATGCTATATCTACACGTCACAGCTCACCCTACCTTTAAATAGTCCTATTCACCCTACAATCCCTACGCGGTACTAAAGAGTTCGCTATATTTTTATTTATTATTCATTTAATTTTCCAGAGCTGACACATGTATATATGTGTATACATTACGGTTACCGATAATATAGCTAACAATACTATATTTCTCAATATATTAAAGTACCTAAATAATTGAAAGTTATTAGCAAATAAAATAAAGTCAGAGAATTTTGGGAGGGGGAGAGCACACTAGCGTAGTCTGCTAGTCGAACGAGTAGCGCATTCTAGGATTAAATACTACAAAAGTCATTAAAGAATTATATTTGCATATATTTTCTAAGTGAAAAATAAACCAGATGTGTTAGGTAAAGTACAGCTAGAAGTTATACATAAATAATTCTTGGCTGTATTTCATCTTCTATCCCTTAATTTAGTCTGCTTACACACGCCAATCGTGGGGAAGATTGACATCTTTCTATTTTGTTTTCCTTTAATTTTTGCACTAAATCTAGGAGTTTGTTTCTGGAAGTATTATTGAGGCCCTATATTTTACTTTAACCTGTTGTACATTCTAATTTCTTTCTTACGATTTTACATTTAATTTGAATGGATTGTAATTTAGTATACCTGTATATATACATGTGTATATGTATAAATAGAGAGATAAATAAATAAATTAGTTTCACCTTTAAAAAAATTTGAAAGAATGCTTTAGGTAACGTAAATGCTGGATTATAAATTATGTATCACGTGACCTTTGAGTCTCAAAGATTGTGCCCTTCAACAACTCTTGATTGATGCTAGGAGACTTTGAAGCTAAGAATGCTGACGAATGATTTTTCCTGACTGAATGCTTGAGACGATGCAAATAGCTTTTGGCGCCGCTATTACTGCGCCAGAGAGCAGACAGGAGGAAAGTTGTTGTGTTCAACACTTCTGAAATAGTTTAGATAAGCGAAAATCGGTGAACTGATTCACAATTTTAAGCTAACAGTTGTGCTGTGAGAAATGAGCTCTTCGCAAATATATATTGCTATTTCTTTTGAATATTAGGCATATTTTAAGCTTAAGTGCTCCAAGGATAAGAACTGTCAAAATGTTGATTTATTTTGACTTACATATCACGTTCCTTTACAATTACATACAGTAAATATAAAATCATAGAAATTCGCTTGCTAAAGAGATGATTAAAAAAAAGAGGTGTGGTATCAGTTGGAATATTGTTTCAACTTAATTACTTTAAAAGTGGAAAGTACTTCATATTGACGACTTCTTTAGAAATCATAAAAAGTATTGATGATAGTCGTGACATGAAACAACATTAATTTTTGTGAGTCAGAAAAAAATCTTTAAAACGAATAGGGCATGCTAAATGTAAATAATAATATGTGGAAAAAAGATGTTTATACTGTTAAAAAACTAAATTTTTTGGATATAAATTTTCAAGTACTTTTGCAATGTTAATTTAAAAGATCATGGTTTCTCAACGCAAAATATTAGTATAGCCTTTATAGATCTTGGTACCCCCAATATACCTGGAGGACTTGAAAAGGTTTAAACACCTGCGAAACAGATAATTTTTTCATTAAAACTTTTTCCATCAAAACTTCAAATTTGGCATTGCTCTCTTTTTCAATGAAATTTTCATTTAATGATAAAAACTATCACATACATCATTGTTCTAAATACTTTTATGTGGTTGATTATCTTTCAAATGTGACAGAAGTCCGTTCAATAATTAGGCTGTTTTGGAGTAAATCATAATTTTTCTTAAAATTCTTTATTACAATAGATTTGCTTCAAGCAAGAAATAATAGATAATAAATTTTGTTAATTCAAATTGAAAAATCTACAAGTATTAAATAAAGTAACAAAAAAGTCTGTTTTCACAATTTCCCGCAAGGCAAATGAAACGCATAATCACTGTCAAATGTTTGAATCTAATATTGCTTTATTGCATCAGCTTTTCCCAGGTTAAGAAGAATATTCTGGAACTGCTAAAGCTTTCTAGTCAAGTTGTCATCCTAGATATTTCAAGTTTTCTCGAGGGACATCTATGTTTTCATCAAGTTTGGCGAATAGACTTGTTGCTAAATCTGCCGAATAAATTCTTTATATTCATATAAAATTATTATTACTCTCTTGGCCTGCAAATGATCTTTATGGCTACAATATTCTTTCGTCTTTTATGCTGAGTCCTATATTTTTGTAACAATGTGTAATTTGAAAATTATCCTATCTACATCTATTTAAATAAATATACATAAGACTGTGTGAGAAGGTTTAATTATTAACTCTCTATTTATTTATAGATTACTTAATTTATCACTCGTTATTGTAAAACAAATTAAATTTACGAATTACTTGGTTCACATAAAGAGGGTTATCAAAAGTTAGATTAACGTTTGATTTAACCAATAAAGAAAATAATAATTAAGAAAATATCATGAACTCTCCAGTCATTGAAACCGTTTTTATGGCAACATGTAGGATAATACGTAGATAGAAATACATATGATTAAAAGGAAAAGTTTGTTTTCTTAATGAATTTTATTAATTGATGTGGATTTCTCGCGATATCCAATCAGACCGATGATTCAGTCAAGCTGCATGCTCAAGTCCAGCTTCAGCAAAAAAAAAAAACAATGTCATGTTATACAGTGGATATTTTTTAACACAATAATTTTTTCGTGTTGAAAAAAGTTTGTGTTAAGGAATATTGAAAAAAAAACATATATTGAACAAAATTAAGTTTATTAGAGTACATTTTATGAACATAGATATGTGTATTTACATGTATTTAATAGAGAGCATTCATACAATGACGTATTTTGCTCTCTTTTTCAATTCCTACTATTGGTGTTCACACTCTTACTATATATATATATATATATATATATATATATATATATATATATATATATGTTTATTTATTTATTTATGTACCTTGTTTAAAATTTCAATCGCAAATAAAATACTTTTTATTCGTCCATTCAAGTTTAAGCACATTTTTTAAAACTTGTAGTGGATGACACTTGATGTTAATACAGTTTTTCAAATATTAATTTGTTAATTAAGGAAGAATTAGTAACAAAAATAATTGTCCAACCCCGTATATAAAATGGAAAACCGCTCCATGTTTCTCTATAGCGCAATAGGTAGCACGTTGGATTTCTAATCCAAAGGTCGTGGGTTCGAATCCTAACTGGGAGAACCCACTTAATTTTTGAGAAAGTGATTTCTTCTTACTAAACCAGTGGTTCTCAAACTTTCACTACTGGCGCCCCCCTTTTCAATCACAATTTTTATCGCGCCCCCCCTTATACATTAATAATGTACTGAATGCACAATAATAATGCACTTTGACGCTAAAGCTACAATACGACCATAATTATAAACCGTACAAATTTACAAGATAAGAATTAAATTTTGTATATCTTACTTTTAAGTAATATTTTTTTTTTGCTTTTTAGTTCGATTCACTATAAAAGCGTGTATTTTAGTTTGTTTAAAAACTATAATTTATTTTATAGTTATTTTTACTATTCACTATAAAAATCACAAAAAATTCCAGTGAATAATTTAATTAAGAGAAAATATACTTACCCCTACTTTCAAGGACTTTTCAATTTTTCAAAATTTGAGAAAAAATCCAATAAAACTAAAGAAAATGTTCCAAATAAATAAAGCCCTTAATAAAGGACATAAAACTCAAATCAACTCAAACGTTTCATGTCTCACGCTTTTCTGATATTTACTTTCGCTATATATATATATATATATATATATATATATATATATATATATATATATATATCTTGATTAATATGCATTATTTCAGTAGGTTCTTCAATTGCTTGATCAGTTTCAACTTTCTTTAGTAGGGATCACAGATGCCCATTTTTTTTAATATTCTGTTTATTTACATTTATAAACTATAATAAGTCGTAGAACACAGCAATCAAAACTACAAAATTGTTCATGGGGAAAGTGTAGCATGTTCTAAAAATAATTGTGTAAAACGTTTTTCATTATGCATTATATGTTTCAGAATACTCATGCTTATCCATATATCATAAAACTCTTTCACGTGGAAAAAAGATGAAACAGAAATATATTATATATATTTACAACTTCCCTTAAAAAAAGACGGAGATAACCATACCAGTAAGTTCGAAGGTCAGCTTAAGTAATATTTTAGGTTAAAAGAAACGTAATAAAAAATCTCTCATCGTTTGATATCGTTAAAAGAAACGTAAAAAAAATCTCTCATCGTTCTCATATTGGCCGCAAAGCAAACAAAATATTTGTTTAATTTGGTTATAGGATCAAAGATGGCTAATGAGTGTTTGAAGTGGAATCTTTTATTTTTGATGATCACCATATGATAAAAATAAATTATATCAGTGTAAATTTGTATTTTTTATTATGTCAGAAAGCATCTTGTTTAACTTCATTCCAAAAAATTATTTTTTAAACCTTTCATCTTCAATATGCTCGCGCCCCCCTGGCAGGGTTACCGCGCCCCCCCAGGGGGCGCGCCCCACAGTTTGGGAAACACTGTACTAAACTAATTTTTTGGAATAATTAAATTCAATTAATGGATAAATGGCAACAAACAAAAATAATAGTCCAACACTACATATAGAAAGGAAAATCGCTTTCTATTTTGACACTTAATATTGTTTTTCTGTTATATGTACATACATATTTATATTGATTGTAATTATTTAATAAAAAGTCTAAAATAAAAATTTTCTTTGTTTACCTAAGTAGAAATTAAGTTAATTTTTTTAAAAAAATATTCTTTTAATTTACATTGATGAAGTTGTGTTAGCAGTACCGAAATCTTTACAGATTTCCATTTTCGTCATCTGCCTTTTATCAAAAGTCATCTTAATTTCAAACGAAATAGCAGTTTGCTTTCCGCTTGAGAATTTTGTCGTGTTTCTAAAAAAATTCTTTGAAAATAGAAAAATTATTGTGAACTCTAAATTCACTGATTTTTACTTACACAGCGATGCACTTGTTACCGAATTTAAAAGCCAGCTACCGAGAAATGAGATATTTTTCTGAGGTGTTTGTAGGGATGGAGGGTGAGAGTAGCTTAAGCAAAATTGGCTGGTATTGACTTATATTCAAAGCCAAGTAGGCTCCTTTCTACGAAACATTCACAGCGATTTTTATCTCTTTTTTATTTCACTCAAACTCAGTGGCGCAACAGCCCATGAAGGCCAGGGCCTATTGGGCCCATCCCAGTACACGTGATCATTGGGCGCTGAGGTGCTAGAGCAGATCTCTTGATCAGGTGGTCAGTCTGAAGCGAAACCCCCAGTGTTTAAGTCCCAAGCAAGTTTAGTACTCATTATCGACCCACTGCCGAGAGATAAAAGGTTGAGTTGACATTGCTCAGCCCGGGAATAGAACCCGAACCTGTGGCGCGATACGCTACCACTCGACAACTGGGCCTCCTTTTATTTCACATCCCTCTTAAATCTAGCCTGAGAGGCTGGTGTTTTCCGTATTTTGGTCATTCCTAGAAGGAGAATCTTTTCGCGTTAAGCGATTTTCGTTTCGTGTTAAAAGAAAAATGCATGAAAATACGTAATAGCTTGTCGGGAGCGTTGTATTGTTTCGTACAAACCGATGTTTTGTCTTAAGTGTTTCGTGTTAAACGTATCTCACTATACTTTAAATTTGTGTGGAGGCATCAAAGCTTTTACATTGACATGATTCAGAAAAGCTAAGAGAGTGAGATTCCAGCTCAAGTGACGTCTTGGTCATTTGACCATGGTTCATAATTAAGAGTTCCGTATAAAATAACCCTAATGTATCCCAGAAATATAATGTTGATAAACAGTAAATTAATAAATTATATCAAGAGAATATGAAAATCGATGGCTTTTTTTGAACTGTTATTCTTTGAAACTATTACTATAAATATCATAATACTACAGAAACATTAATTTTTATAAACGACAAAGCTTGCAACAATTTTCTGGTATTTTTTTGAAGATAGATATATATTTTATCTACAAATACTCTGGTAGATAAACGCAACATAAAAATGAGGTTTTCATTCTGCGATGGGCTATTTTCAGCAAAGCTTCATGAGCCATCTCTTTTCTTCAATTGTTGTATATTGTAAAGGCTCTTTCAGCCCAAATGCCACAACTTCTATATGGGTCCAATTTTTTCAGTCCCCAAGGTAAAGGTAGAGATTCCCTCTATCTTCATTGTCTTTATTGTCCCATATCTTTTTTTGTTATAATAATGCAAGTTTCTTTTCTCCGATTTCTTCTTTTCATATTCATACACAAAGTCCTTAGGAATCAAGAACTTAAGACTTTCCGAAACACGCAAGATTTCTATTAGACTAATGTGCCTTTCAGATAGATTAGAACGTCAGTGGTCACATAAAACAATAAATAAATAGCATATCCGTTTGGACGAGACTTTTATGTTTCGTATATAAAAAGGGTAGAAGATGGTATTATTTTTATCTATTTTGATCTGTTGCATTATTCTTAATAACAATTTTATTACTTATAATAAATTTTATATATATATATATATATATATATATATATATATATATATATATATATATATATATATATATATATATATATATATATGTATATATATATACACTGCCATTATCCACGTGTTTCGCTGGGTATTTCATGATGTTATATGAATGCATACCACACACACACACACACACACACATATATATATATATTATTTATGTGTATTTTAATAATACACACACATATATATATATTATTATTTTATTTTATAATTTTTTAATTTTGTTTGAAAACGATAGAATTTTATCTTTCATATTCGCCATTGATATTTTGAAATGGGATTTAGTATTATAAGATTCATATATTTCATTTAAATATATATATATATATATATATATATATATATATATATATATATATATATACATATATGAAATATTTCTATAATATTTCTTGAAGATTGGTAAAACTATTGTAAGACGTGGCGAGTGGATGTTCTTACTGTAGCGAGCCAAAGATAGAGCGTGGCTGGTGGTGTGATTTTCTATGTTACGTGGAGTGTGATCGACTACGGTATCGATGAGGCACTAATGTAAATAGTAATTCCTTTTTATCCACATCTGTGTGTGTGTGGAAGCACATAAAGATCCAGTAGGGACGGCATTACACATTAAAAGAAGCAAACATGGACGACACAACACAGACAAAGAAACTACAACACAAAGCAGCCGGCTACATGACTACAGAGAAACGAACGAAGAGAGCGAGATTTCCAGAGACATCGGGTTTTATACCTGACGTTGACGACCACGTGACATTTTTGTAATAAGAGCTCTGATTGGTTACCATGGGCGGGAAAGGGATTTATGATGTAATAATATTAGTCGAATACGATTAAGATCAGGGTGTTAGTTTCGAACCAAATAATTAAAAGATTATTTGAATATTATTAAAAACAGTTAATTAAAAGGATGCTAGGGGGAATTATTACATATATATAGTACATATATATACTATATATAAATTATTGGAAAGGTCATTGGCTGAGTAATAACGTATTGCACTTCCATGCTACAGGTTCAGATCCCGGGCTGGGCATGGTCGTCTCAGCCTTTCATCCCTTAAGTGTGTCGATAAATGAGTACCAAGCTTGCTTGGGAACTGGACACTGGGGTTTCGCGTCAGCTGACCATTTGACCGAAACATCCCGGGTGCACATGCACCCTAGTGCCTAAGGTCACGTAAACTAAGATAGGCACAGTAGGCCTTGGGCTTCGTGGACTATGGCGCCACTCAGTTCAGTTATGTAAAATATTGATGTTTAAGTCCTAGCATTAAGCGTTCGATTGTATTGAAAATGTTCATATAACCTTCAGTTCTTGGTTTAAAAAGAACAATAATTGAATTCTAAAATTGGAGTAGAAGTATTTTTATGCTCCCGTAAATCTTTCCTCCAAAGTGTATTCCAGCGAAACTCATTTTTAAGGGATCTCTACTCAACAAAATAAACATGCTTACCAAATTTCAAGATTAAGTCTAATAGGTAGAAAACGCAAATATTTTAACCAGTAACTATACCTCCCCCACATTGTGAGTCTATTTCCATAATACCCTTTCTTAACGGATTTCAATTCTATAAAAGACAAAGGCATACTAAATCTCATTACTGTGAGTCTAGTAG